GCCACGTATGATGTCCTTGGTGTATGTTATTCATTCTTATATTTTTCAAATCATTTCATTCTTCATTATTTATTTTGTTATAATTGTCTATCTCAAGATATAACTCCATCTACTTCTATGCTTTCCTTACTGACTTGTCATGGGTATTCATTAGATTGAAAGCCCATGATAGAGTGAAAAAAGGCTCTTATTGTGTAAAGAAGAGTTTTGAAATTAGGTCACTGAATAAAGTAAAGTTGAAGGGAGATGGATGACTTTCTTTGAGATACACATAGGATCATTCAAAGAAAACAGCGGACTCATTCAACAATGCAATCACATATGTGTCCTGCAGCTTTGACAGACTCCGCTGCAATGGTTCCCTACGAGGCCTTCGCTTAGAGGCCTATCTTTCTTGTTGGTGTAATAGTTTCCAAAAACAGACTCCGCTTACTCGGCTGGTTTAAAGAAATTACATTTAATGGTTTCACTTTTCAAATACTTTTACTGCGCTACTAAGCAAATTCTTCAGGACATTAGCATGCCTGCAACTGTACTATTGTTGGTTTCTTCTATGGTTTGCAAGCATCAAGATTCTATGCTCATATACTGAACTGTGCTACTAGGCCTATCTTTCCTCACGGCATAATATCCGTTATTAGAATGCCTTGACTACTTATCAGTGATATTCTCTATGCTTTGCTAGATTCTATGTTATCATATACTGAATTGCACTACGAGGCATATCTTTCTTCACGGCATAATATCCGTTATTAGAATGCCTTGACTACTTATCAGTGATATCCTCTATGCTTTGCTAGATTATATGTTATCATATACTAACTGAGCAACTAGGCATATCTTTCTTTACGGCATAATATCCGTTATTAGAATGCCTTGACTACTTATCAGTGATATCCTTTATGCTTTGCTAGATTCTATGTTCTCATTTACTAAACTGAGCAACTAGGCCTATCTTTCTTCACGGCATAATATCCGTTATTAGAATGCCTTGACTACTTATCAGTGATATTCTCTATGCTTTGCTAGATTCTATGTTATCATATACTCTAGGCCTATCTTTCTTCACGGCATAATATCCGTTGTTAGAATGCCTTGACTACTTATCAGTGATATCCTCTATGCTTTGCTAGATTATATGTTATCATATACTGAATTGCACTACGAGGCATATCTTTCTTCACGGCATAATATCTGTTAATAGAATGCCTTGACTACTTATCAGTGATATCCTCTATGCTTTGCTAGATTATATGTTATCATATACTAACTGAGCAACTAGGCATATCTTTCTTCACGGCATAATACCCGTTATTAGAATGCCTTGACTACTTATCAGTGATATCCTCTATGCTTTGCTAGATTCTATGTTCTCATATACTAAACTGAGCAACTAGGCCTATCTTTCTTCATGGCATAATATCCGTTATTAGAATGCCCTGACTACTTATCAGTGATATCCTCTATGCTTTGCTAGATTCTATGTTCTCATATACTGAACTGTGCTCCTGGGCCCATCTTTCTTCACGGCATAATATCCGTTATTAGAATGCCTTGACTACTTATCAGTGATATCCTCTATGCTTTGCTAGATTCTATGTTGTCATATACTGAACTGTGCTACGCGGCATATCTTTCTCCACGGCATAATATCCGTTTTTAGAATGCCTTGACTACTTATCAGTGATATCCTCTTTGCTTTGTTAGATTCTATGTTATCATATACTAAACTGAGCAACTAGGCCTATATTTCTTCACGGCATAATATCCGTTATTAGAATGTCTTGACTACTTATCAATGATATCCTCTATGCTTTGCTAGATTATATGTTATCATATACTAAACTGAGCAACTAGGCCTATCTTTCTTCACGGCATAATATCCGTTATTAGAATGCCTTGACTACTTATCAGTGATATCCTCTATGCTTTGCTAGATTCTATGTTCTCATATACTAAACTGAGCAACTAGGCCTATCTTTCTTCACGGCATAATATCCGTTATTAGAATGCCTTGACTACTTATCAGTGATATCCTCTATGCTTTGCTAGATTCTATGTTCTCATATACTGCTCTGCGCTACTAGGCCTAAAACACTACACGGCATAATATACATTATTAGAATGCCTTGGCTGTCTTATCAATGATATCCTCTATGCGTTGATGGAGTATGTTATCACAAAATGTACTGCGCTACCGGGCATATCTTTCTTCTCGAAGTTTTTGCCGTCATTAAAATTCCTTTGGCTGTCTTTTCATTAATTTCCTATATGCTTTGCTGAAGTTTATGTTATCACATATCATATAATTTTGAGGGCAATTTCCTAACTCCTCCATGTACATAGTATATTGATACGCTACCTTGATACAAAAGCCCTGAAGAAAAGCAAAAGAGTACTGTTGTTACTATTTATTGATAAAATCTTTAAAAGTAAAGACATATATCCCTATTTTCAATTCCAGTTTCATTGTATATTATTAATGTCTAGTTCTGCAGGGCGCGTCTTTTGTTTATAAATCTCACCAAAGTCGGTATAGACAGGAGATTCATGGTCTGCAACAGATAGCCTTCTGGGGATATTCATTTTATTTTATTTTCTTTCTTATAATAAGAATCAGTGACTGTCTTATGGTTGGTATCCTCCTTGTTTTGCTTCAAAAGTATGTTCTCATATAATTTTCTAGCAGGCCTATCTTCCTTGCCAGCGTGGTAGGCGTTATGCTTAGAACTCAGCCATTTGTCCACATGAGGTTTTGTACCTGGAATTATTGATTGCCTGTGAATTCAACGTGACGTTAGTATCTTCTTGACTCGACTTATTTATTTGAATGTTTCCATGTACTTTGCAAACGGTATAAATCTTTCTTTTCAGCATAGTTGATATCATTATGGTTGGGATTGCAACTGTTGCGCACTTCAAGTCTTTGACCAGTCATACGTTTACATTATTGGTTCCCTGAGATAATTACCTACAACTGGTATATATTTTTTCATATGGTGGTTTCAAAAAGGCATAAAATAGATTCACCGTTTTACAATAGACCAGATGCGAGTAGAAATAATCTTGATTTACGTCATTAAATATTCAAAATTCAGTCAAAGTGATCTCATATTTGAAATATGCATGTAAAAGTACATCCAGAAATATGGTTTCGAAAATTGTCTATCAACTTTGAAAATTAAATTTTTTGGAAAATGTGACTTCTTGTTCGGGTTGATTCCCCATAGACCCCATGTTACAAAATCACAAAAAGTGAATTATCTTCTCTTGTATTGGACAGATAACATTTTCTTTTACTGGACATATTTTAATTTGCATAACTATTAGATACATGAGGGTTATATAAAAATTGAACCACGCAAATAGATGTAATTTAAGTTAAATGGAACTTTCTACTATACCCGCCATGCTATCTGACCCGAACGAGCCAACTGGTGGTGAATCTGGTAACTACCTACTCGCGGCTTTGTATAAAAAACCTCCTACCCACGTACCCTCGTACCCACGTACGTGGGTCCTGACCCAGTCTTTAAAGAGTTAAATCTTTAACATTTTTTAAACATTATTCTATCTCAATGTATGCTTAATTATGGATGAATTTATGTACCCATATATGCCTTTATTTCTAGATCGGACATCTGTCTCGTCATAAAATAAAGCCGGTGTGAAAGAAATGATGGTCCCCCAGGGATTTTGGTCCCCTTTCTTAACGGCCCTTACTGGCCCTGATTGTGTATAAGATAATGAGGTAAACAGTTGTAGTTAGGTCACCATGTAAATCAATGGAGAGTAGGACCATAATTTGATAGGACATTCTACACTTTTACACCGGCATTGCATAATGTTCATTTGAGCTATTTGAGTGTTGTTTTTGATATATCGAAGCGATTTTTTGTTGATCGGGCAGTCTTACAGTGTACAACCAATCTATTGCTTGGCGCAAATTGGCCACATGGGGCATGTGTTGTAAAGTGCTGTAGTTTTTGACTCCATGAGCAGAATATGGTCAAACTTTCACAACAAAATTCACATTGAATGACCTGAATGATTCTGGATTGACGAAGTTATTCAACTTTTCATCGGTCCTGTTTTTTAACACCCTGTAGTTTCGATTTTTATCACATATACTTTTTATTCTTTCAAACGATATTACAAGTATTCATTGTTTGCACGACAGATTTGAACTATACGTGTAATTTGTCTTATGTCTTTTATTTAATTTAACATCAGAATTGGAGATACAAAGTGAAAGAGTGATCAATTCACACGATCTCAAGGAATAATAAAGGCTGCATTTCTGTTTAACCGTGGCGCAATTGAATAACGAAATATTTGAAAAGTAGAAGGATTCGCTATATTCGTTTTTAATCGCTTTTTGGCACAATTTAAGGATAATTGTGCGCACTAGTTCAGTGAATCATTTAGATGGAATTAAAAGTTAGAGTTGCCAAACTTATGCAGGGGAGTGTAAGTTTGGTTTTGTAAACTTCGACATTATTCATGGCCGTTTGATCCATAATTAGGTAATATGAAGAGTAGAGTTTTATTTTGACAATGATTTGATGTAAAACTGGTTTGAATGATAAAAGTTCAGTTTTGTAGTTTCTAGCTTTTTGCGCGTAAAACGTGAATACAATGGACAACAACGACACCAAATCTTTGACTAACATACGTTAATAACGTATAATATTCGTAAGAATGAATTCTAATAACATTTGAAATAAACATCTTATAAAATGTGGTGAATTTAATTGGTTGGAAACTCTAAGAAATATATTTTTAAAAAGATGTCAACTTTTGGACAAGGGTAAACTTCCCGGGACATTTACAATCTGCATGAGGTAACAGGAGGCACGGATTGCACTGAACGAAGGCTAGGGGATTGCAAATCAGCACTGATGTGTTATACAGGTAAGACTGCCCGATCAACAAAAAACATTTCGACATATCAAAAACATAAATCAAATAGCTCAAAAATTATGAACATTTATGCAATTCCGGCTTTATTTTATTTTACTAGAGAGATGTCAGACCTATAAATAAAGGCATATGGATGCATAAATTCATCTATAATTCAGGATAAACTGAGATTGAATAATGTTTTAAACATTTAAAAATTTAACTCTTTAAAGACTGGGTCAGGACCCACGTACGTGGGTACGAGGGTACGTGGGTAGGAGGTTTTTTCCCAGTTTTTTTTTATACAAAGCCATCGTTGTTATGTCTTTTGTTGTTATTTCTAATTTCTTTGCCAAACTCTGACGTAATCCACCTCCATGGCAACATCGTCACCCCGCCAAGTACTATACCACCCAGACCTGCCATTCCAGAAATCTTCATTTGCTTGGGGAGAGTTATTCGACCATGGTTTAGGATATGGGAGGCTTTGTACATTGTCCGGGAAATAACCATTTGTTCCCCCAACAGCAACGTTCAGAATGAGGTAGAACTAGTAATAAGAAATAATATTGATAATCTTACAACACATATTCACGGGCATGAATCTAAAGCTTTATTCGCTATAACGGAGCATGTTATTTTTATAAAAACACTAAGAAAACTTCAAAATTCATTTTTTAACTCATATGTTTCGTTATACCAAAGAAAATTACTTATGCAAATGCAAATGGTAAAAATTACAATATTTGAATCATTGTCTGTCTTCCTTTAGGCTATGATTTATTGCTTATTTGGAGTCAGTACGAGAGCTGTGTATAAGGTAATTTCTAATGATTTAAGGACGTTATATTACTTCTCGATTAAAAGGTGCGTCTGTCCCCTGTCCTTCCCAAGGGTTTGGTCCAGTACACCCTCCCCAGTTGTAGTAACCCTCCGACGGAGTGGGTACATTCAGCACCAGATTCCCGTTCTCAAAAACCCTAATAACAAAAATACAACTTGAAAAAAGAAATACAAAACTCCTTCAAATTCCATAAAAATAGTAAATAGTAAGTACTAGGCTTTTAATTATAATTTACATAAAAAATTACACTTTTACGACACTTTTCCTCACAGCATATAATTTAATTCCACTGAATCTGTATACAATTGGGATGAAATGATTGATGCAGAAACATCTTTAGTACAGCCACCTAAAAGATATAAAACAAATGGAATCACAGGTGATTTCCTTTCAAATGAAGAACTTTCTCGGCAAATAATGGAAACAATAGATAGGATAACAAATGAAGAAGTATCTGTCAATCAAATAAAAACTCTTTATGACACATTTGTTAAGACAGTGTCATCAGAAATGGACCGTTTATGTGAATCGATACCCCAGCAAACCAATCCAAACCACAAACGTTCTAAATCATGTAGAAAACCTTATTGGAGTGCTGAGCTTCAATCATTATGGGATAAGGTTCAAAAAGCTGAACAAACATGGATACAATGCAAAGATACAGCAAAAAGACAATGTCTCAAAGCAACTTATTGTATTGAAAGGCGTTGTTTTGATAGAAGTCTAAGGAAAGCTAAGCGCAGATATCAGAAGCAAGAACAAGACCATCTATTTGATCTGTACAAATCATCCAGTTCACAGGACTTTTGGAAATACATAGGGAAAATAGGAATAGCCAACGAGCGTACCAAAGATGTTCCGTGGACAATGAAAAATCAATCTGGTGAATTGGTGTATGATAAACAGCTAATTCTGAACCACTGGGCTGACACATATGAAAAATTATATTCATCCGCTCAGAATAATCCTATGTTTGACTCTGATCACTTAGAATATATAAAACAACAAGTAGCCAATATAGAAAGTAATGATACCGACAATAATTTAGACATAAATAAAGATATTTCATTTAAAGAGGTTGTAGAGGCAGTCAGTAGGGCCAAAGTTCGTAAAGCTGTAGGAATTGACTCTATACCAGCTGAGGCTTTGAAAAATCCACTTTGTATAACCATGTTACACAGAATTATGTTACTCTGTTTTAACTCTGGCACTGTGCCAAGTCAGTGGATGGAGGGTATTATACACCCAATATATAAAGATGGAGACCCATGTAATCCTCTGAACTATCGTGCCATTACATTAATATCTGTGCCTTGCAAGGTCTACACTGATATTTTGAACAAGCGCCTAACTCAATTCCTTGAGGACAATAACCTTATTCATGATGAACAAGGGGGCTTTCGCAAGGGACGTGGTTGTCAAGAACAAGTTCACAGTGTCTACTCAATCATAAATAATAGGAAACTTTCTAAGCTCGATACTTTTATTTGCTACATTGACGCAACTAAGGCATTCTCGAGTGTTAATCGAGACTGCCTATGGTATAAACTCAATAAGATTGGCATCAAAGGCAAAATCTTTAAAGCAGTTCAATCCCTATATGAAGATGTGACATGTAACATCCGCATAAATGGTCTACTATCTCCAAAAGTAAACGTAAGCAATGGCTGCCGGGAAGGCTGTCTGCTATCCCCGACATTATTTTCAGTGTATGTGAATGATCTGGTGTCCGACATTAACAGTCTACAATGTGGAATACAAATGGAGGACGAGAACATAGGCATCCTTCTTTATGCTGATGACATAGCGCTTATTGCAAGCTCAGCTGATAACTTACAACAGATGTTAAACACTCTACATGAATGGTGCCGCAAATGGAGACTTCTAATTAACCCTCGAAAATCTAAAATAGTGCATTATCGCCCAAAATCACATCCTAGGTCAGACTTTGCTTTTAAATGTGGGGACTTTGATCTAGATTATACAGACACTTATAAATATCTGGGGATCTGGCTCCAAGAGCATGTGGACTCAACACATTCTGCCAAAGAAATTGCAAAATCAGCAAATAGAGCCCTGAGTGTGATTATCAGCAAATACAAGCAAACTGGGGGTATGGAGTTCGCAGTTTACAACAAGCTATATGACTCTTTAGTCCAGCCTATACTTAACTATGGCTCATCTATATTTGGCCTCAACCAACATCAATGCCTGAACAATGTTCAAAATAAAGCTGGCAAGTTCTTTCTAGGTGTAAACAAACGCACTAGTAATGAGGCTGTAAGAGGAGATCTAGGATGGGACACTCCACATTTAAAACAAAAGGTGGAATGTGCTAGATTGTTCATTAAACTGAAGTCCATGAATCAGAATAGGCTGAATTTTAAAATACATGAATGGTCCATTAAACGGAAAAGCAGTTGGGACTTTAAAGTTAATTCAATGTTAAATACATGTAATATAAATTTCACTGGTCATACCAAGGACATTTTAAAACAGTTTACTAACTCTCTTCGAAATTCTGATAAATTTATCCATAACATATGGGATGATAGAAATAATGAAACTAATGGCAATAAATTGAGACAATATAGACTGTACAAATATGGTGTTTGCAAGGAAGGGTATTTGGCCCTACCAAAGCATCACCGTAGGTCACTCGCTAGATTCAGAACTGGTACTTTACCCTTAGCAATTGAAACAGGGCGCTACACAGGTATACCATTACACGAAAGGAAATGCTTATTATGTGACATGAATTGTATTGAAGATGAAAAGCATTTCTTATTAGAATGTAGCCATTATGATGATCTAAGATGTGATTTTTATGAAAATGTTAAACAGAAATTGCCTTATTTAGATGTAACATCAGCCAATTCTACACTTTTTTTTGTCTCCATTATGAATTGTACTTCACTCCAAAGACCATTAGGAGCTTTAGTTTATAATATGTGCAATAAGAGATCTCTTAATATTGATAGGCTATAATCACTAAATGAGTATGCATGTCACCTAAGTTCCCTTTATAAAATATTTATTTAAAATGTATCTAGTCAGAAACTCCTTGGTTTTATGATGCCTCTTTTTAGTGCTTTGAGCTATCAACCCTGGGGAAGATGGTCTCAATTCAGTACTGCAGAGGTGAATATTATCTATGGGTTTCTTGTTTTATTTATTCACTGCTCATGCAACTCCCATTTAGTGCAATATATGTATTTATTATTCAATATGCATCTCATATTTAGTGCAATATATGCATTTATTGTAATATTTGTCTTCAAACATATGCATTATGTATTTCACATTTAGTGCAATATTCATATTAATTGTAATATTTGACCATATGCAATATACTACTTACATTTAGTGCAATATATGTATTAATCATGCAATATGCATCTCACATTTAGTGCAATACATGTATTTATTGTAATATTTGTCTTCAACCGATGCATTGTGTATTTCACATTTAGTGCAGTGTTCATATTTATTGTAATATTTGACCATAGTGCAACATGCTACTTACATTAAGTGCAATACATGTATATGAATTTATTGTAATAACAGTCTTCGACCATATGCATGATACAATTCACATTTAGTGCGATATTTGTATTTATTGTAATTTTTGACCATATGCAACATGCTACTCTCATTTAGTGCAATATATGTATTTATTATGCAATATCGATATCACATTAGGTGCAATATATGTATTTAATATAATGATTGACAATATCATTCCATGAACTGCTTATTTATTTATGCCAAACTGATTAATCAGACTGAATTTATATCATTGGTTATTAATCATGTATAAATTTTTTTACCAGGGACATTTTTTGTCTCTGTCTTTATGAGTGTTGACCCAAGCTGCCCATTGGGGGTAGTAATGGGTGACACTCAGATATAATGTATACTGTGTCTCATAAGTCGGCACCGGCTGGTGATGTTACAAAATGTTGTTTTTATTATGTATTTTATATGTATATTGTAATGTCAGTGACACAAAAATAAACTATTTTAAACTAAAAAAAAACTCTAAAATTTCTGATCGTATTGAATATGTATATCCATTCTTAAATAACATATGCATTGACAAGGGAAACCTTATTAATGGAAATAAATTAAGAACATATAAGGAATTTAAATTTGGTGTCTGCACTGAACAGTTTATAAAGGTAACTGGTCAACTCGTACCCAAGACAACTCGTACCCAAGTCAAGTCGTACCCAAGACAACTCGTACCCAAGTATTGCCTGGGTCACATAGGCGCCGGGCGCCGGCCGATGAGTAGTCATCGGCCGATTTCTAAATCGACCGGGCGCCGGCGACTTTTCACCGATGTCTTGATCTAATCGTGAGTATGGTCACATTAGTAAAGGCATCGTACGGCGCCCGCAATCAATTGAATCTGAAAGACATCGTACGGGTATCGCAAGGCTATCTGCCGATGCCCGTACGGCACCCGCCAGGACATCGGTCGATCAACAGGCCTCTAGATTTATACTTAATTCTTGTATGACCCAGTATGACTGTTCCACATGGCGTGAATGCAAGATTCGAAAACGAAATACTTCGCTAGACAGGACTTCAAGGTTAATAATGCTTTCATGCAATAAAAATCAGAAAAAGAAGATCCTCTTTTCGAGTAAATAGGTTCAATATTTTAAAAAAAAATGCTGACATGGGGTCCCTATTCATAATTTTTCAAATTTTTTGATTGATAGTTTTTTCTATCATGGGTACTCCAATTGAAAGAAAACACATTGTTTTAATAAAAACACTGTATTTATGCCCAGAAAGTACTCATGGTGAAAGTTATGACCGTCTAAAATCACTTGCCATACTGCACGTGGTCTTTTCATCAAAGTGCACCCTGACCTTAATTCATTTTTAGATCTTTCATATAAACAAATACTATGTCTACCTATATATGGCCAATTGGCCTAATCCCCTCTATCCTTAGCCTTTGGCATATTAACTGTAATTATTGAGACAGTGAACTTCGTATTAAAATTGTGACCCTTCAAAATACTACTCACAAAATCAGTCAGAAGATTTTTAAAATAAATGATTTGTAATGCTATATGCATGAGTGAATATACGTATAAAAATGTATCACTCTATTCAATGTGTATGATAGACATACACGATTAATGTCAATATAAGAACGACTAGATCAACCCACCCACCCAGCCATTCAGATGTGTGTCATTGTTTTACAGTAAGCCTAATCGTTCCATTTATGTTTTATAAAAAATCTCTGACAGTATGTAGTAATTATAATTCCTTACCTCATTATTTTTAGAACCTTTTTATCACTTTATAAGTAATCATTATTAAGATTTATCAAACAAATCAACACGCACAATCCCAAGATGACCGTGCGATGCCACAGGGCGCCGTAAGATAATCGTACGATGACCGGACGGGACCCGGCCGGGTAGGTATCGATGAGTTTGCTTGAGAAAAAATCGCCAAGACATCGGCAACTTTTATCTCCGCGATAAAACTCTGCCGGCGCCCGTACGATGTCTAAGCATCGGCCGATGAGTGGCGATCATCGCCCGGCGCCCGTACGATGCCCGGGCTCGCCGGCCGATTTTGAACAAAATACTCATCGGCCGGGCGCCGTAGTGAAAATCGGAGCCTATGTGACCAAGGCATAAATGTTTTGTTTTGAATCAAGTGTTGGGCTGGGAATGGGTATAGATATACATACTATAATGGTTACATACAGTTCAGAATAGTTTGAAGTATGTAAAGTTGGGGACAAAAATAAATCTCAACCCTCAAAAGTTGTCACAATGAGCTAAATTCTAAGTTTCATGTCTCAAACTCTCCCAAGTGGTAGAAAAATAATTCCCATCCACTTTAAGTAGCACAATAAATGAATCCAAAGCCTCATACCTGCAAATGATGGATAAATCCCTACCAAATCGGACTAATGTTTTCATGAATCGCCATGTTTGTGATCCAAGGACGATTGACTCCCAGAATGCAACATCAAGTAACCTTATTTATTCGTGACGTATTTCAAAACGGCGGAATGGCATTTTGAAAGCTGACACGTGTCATGTTGCATTCTGGGAGCCAACCCACATTGCGGCGTAATCTGGCTCCTAAATCACCTCAACATTTGAAGAGTCGGCATTAAGGTGACTGTTAACTTAATCGATTTCCAGAAAAAATTGAAAATTTCACAATCTTGAAATTTTCAAACTCTTCCTGAGAAGTCGTTTTTATTATTTCACATATGCTTGTGCACTGTAATTATTACAAAGACATCAAAGAACAACAAAAAACTTTAGTTTGAGAAAAAAAGTGCCGTTTAAAGAATTTGAGAAGATTTTTTTCTAGGAGTAGCCTGTGAAAAACCGCTGATTCAAAATATCTGAACATTTCAGAAAATATACTTCAAACATATATCAAAAACGAAGGAGCAACGGAAATTTGAAAAATTACCCGATAAAAAAATTGGGATCAAAATAAGGAAAAAAGTACACTTCTCAAATTGTTTTTTTCTATTTTTTTAAATTTGTATGAGAGATTTCAAAATTCTAAAGCTCCTTCAATTTTGGGCTATATTAAAGGGATGTTTCAGAGAAATTAGAAAAAAAAATGTTCAGGGACCTTTGTCGTGCTACTCTTTTTGTCAATTTTCTGTCACATTTTCAGAGGACTCAAATTCCCATTCCAAAATGTTTACTGTTTCTATTTGCATTACCACAGTGAGCCTGGTTATATAAATGATAAGTGGAACTAAAAAATTGAGAGAAAATCCAACCAAAAGACAGTTAATTTTGATGGTCAGATTATACTCAAATGCCATGTGCTTCCTGGTTTCGGCCATCTTGGATTTTTTGATTAAGTTATAAGTTACCTTAACATGTGAATTCCACATCAAATTTTTAAGTTCTTATTTGTCATTATGGACACAAATTCCACTAGATCTGGACTTACTATGACGGAGAAAATAGAGCACTGAATACACTGAGGTAAGAATTTATTACATATGCGACAACATGTAATTTCCATAGGTTTTGTAATTCTTTATGCCCCCCACTGTAGAAGAGTTTTTGGAAGAAATCGATTGAAATTTGTGACCAAATATATTGGTCACAGATTCAGATGTTCGAGGGAAGAGATTTATGTTTATTCCACATATTCATAATCATTGTCCACAATATTAGTGGTATTTTTGTATGTTAATGAGTGTTTGGAACAAGTATCAGATCTAATTCATCTTGAAATATGGTATTATCAAAAATATAAAGATTTTCAAAACTTGCGCCTATTTCTTATCTTTTTAGGATTTCATATTATCAGATTAAAGAATGATAATTCTAAGAAGTCACCTTTATAAAATTAAGCAATAAAAAATATTCTAAATAATATGAATATCAAATATTATTTTGATACTTATTCATACATGATATAATACACTTTGCATGCATGTGTTCAAATATAATCCAATTAAGTTCAAAATGGAAAAGAAATTAACAGATTAAAGATTTCTTATTAATTTTATCTGAATGCACTAAGCTAAATTAATTGTTTGATTCATTTGTTGAAAAGTTACTGTTGTAATTATATTCATTTTTTATATATATGTATTACAAAAAAAGTTGAGAACAAGCCCTTCAAAGCACTTCAAAGGTAATCCAAGTTAAAACAAAATGCTTTGCTTAATCCATTGAGAAAAAATGTCTCCTAAATTCAGAAAAAATATTGAGGCACATTATAACATTAAACATTTTGACACAGACTCAATTTGTTTTCTTATATGCACCCATAATACAGAAAATAAACGTGGGTACGAGTTGTCTTGGGTACCAGTTGTCTTGGGTACCAGTTGACTTGGGTACGAGTTGTCTTGGGTACAAGTTGTCTTGGGTACGAGTTGTCTTGGGTACGAGTTGACTAGGAAGCGTTTATAAAGTATAACCTGCCAAGACACCATTGAAAAATTCTGGCAGAATTTAGATCTGGTACTTTGAAGTTAGCCATAGAGACGGGTCGCTTCAATAACATTCCAATACACAACAGAAAATGTCTTTTATGTGATAGTGACCAAGTAGAAGATGAAAAACATTTTCTGTTAGACTGTACACATTATATAGATATTAGAAATGACCTATTTTCATATTTAAGAGATTCATTCGATAATTTTAGTGTTGATAATATTACAATCCACTCTATAATGACATGTAAATCTAGTCAAAGGAAAATTGCTTCCTCTATATATAAAATGTTTCAAAAGAGGGCATTTAATCTGGAACGTTTGCAATAACATTGTAATATTGATGCTATTTATGTAATCATATTTAACCCCCCTATCACACCAAACTAGTTCTTACCCGTTCTTGCCAGTCCTACGAAAACGTCGTAAAACGGGCTCAATCTGGCTGTGGTCGGGAAATATGTCTGAAATAATTAGCTTCTTCGTTCTTAAACAGTCTTCAATACGTCCATCTCGTTCGCAGTTCGTTCAGGTCGCACCACGTTGGCGTGCAACGTCGTAGAACGCGTCCCTTAGTTTAGAAGGACAACATGACCTGATTACAGAACGGTATGGTCGCCATCGAACTTTGAATCGATTCAAAATTCTAAAATCACACCGTCTGAGAACGTTCATAAAGTTCGTAAATAGACCTTAGAAAGTTGCAGCTACGTTCATTCCGTTCGCACACAGTTTAAAACCAGTTTTGAAGAACGCAGTGGCAACTTGTTTGGTGTGATAGCTATATTTTTGCTAACTCGTTCATAAGCAGTGTTAAATACGTTCTTAATCAGTTTAAACCCGTTTGCAATTAGTTCTACGTCGTTCTCAACACGTCCTCAGACAGTTCGACTCGTTGTTAAAACGTCCCTAGTAGGATTGAAGTACGACGGTTCCGTTCGTAGTACGTCCAGCTCGTCGTTAGTACGTTGTCACTCGTTCTAATTGTAGAACGTGACGACCACGAGAAGATTTTGAGCATTGTCTAAGTTCTAGAGGACCTACCCGTTCGAGTACGTTCGATGAAGTTTGTAAATAGATCCCAAACGGTTCTTAGTAGGTCCAGTCCGTTCGTACACAGTTGAAGCCCGTTTTCGAGAACGTAGTGAGAACTAGTTTGGTGTGATAGTAGGGTAAGTGTCTCACAAGCCGGCATCGGCTAGAGGTTTTTTATTAATGTATTTTAGTATTGTATTTTATTGTATATGTATGAACCTGTGACACTATAATAAACTATATAAACTAAAACTATATCCTTACATTAAACCTGTTTCGTCCCAATCCAATCTGTATATGTGGAAATCTTGGCCATATGTACACCCAGGGCAGTGCCTACAAAACAACGACCGTTATAAAACATTTTAAAACCCGTTGACATTTTTGAAAATTCTTGTAACGACCAATTGATCAAATTAGACGATGACATCCCATGTAAGTATGCAATATATCGTTAAGACCTATCTTATAGTACATGTAATTACAGCTACCTTTTTCCTTGCGTCATTGTCCATCTATTCTGCGCCGGTTCTGGTCCCCAGTGAAGCGTTGCACCGAACTCCTGAACACCAATGGAACCATAGTTCTCATTCCCTGAATGCATAAGCAATCACAAACCAAACATGAATTTGGACATTAGAACGTTATTACAGAATTAAGAGTATCTACAACAATCGATATTGTGAGGCCCGTGGAGTTTACTTACCTCGACTTTCACAAACGTCTATCTCTCCGGAACGAGGCCATCCTCCGTACACCGCGTCCCTAGGTAGGAGCCAGAGAGCTACAATAATGTTGTCAATTAGGTCAATAACAGTCAATTAGGTAATACAATTTGACACCCCTATCTTTGTAATATTTTCAAGAAATTCATATCCTCAAGATCATGTATTGCCCACTGCTACAAATTATTTCCTTTTTCCTCGTATTTATGTATTAAAACGTGATATCTCAGTAGAGTCAAATGATAACAGCATTCCTTCTTCAACCATAGAGATTCATATTCATTCATATTCAGAGATTCATTCAAGTAACGTTAGATGGATGGGGGAATGTTATGTGCCATTAGGTCTACCTGGCCAGATCCAATCCCCTGTAGGCATCTTTGCTCTGAATTCCATCCTTCCATAACGAAACGCTTGTCTCGATTTAAGCTTTCCAGACATGATAGAGTTAATCATCCCGTTTCTTCCCTCTCGTCGGCATCCGTAATCTCGCTCGTCTGTACACCGACCATACATTTCTTCCAGATTAAAAGATAGGGGAGGAAACCCATTAAACATTACAAAAAACAAAAAACAGGAACAATTGGAACAGGGCACCTGCCGTGAACGAAATAGACACAGCCAATAATGTTAAGTAATACACATGTAATTTACCTCTAAGGTCCAGGATTCCATTATACAGAAAATCTTCTCCAAATCTGTCGGCTGTAAGGGTAGGTTTAATTACCAGATTCCCATTCCTTACGAATGTGTTCTGCTGCTCCGGTGTGTAAACTTGGAACTCCCAATTCTGTTCAAAATACCAGATAACATTTTTTCGATTAAACATGGACAGGTATGCCAAAATTGACAATAGAAAAGCGTGGCATTGACATGACACAATGTCACCAGCCAGAGACATATATTATATGTCTCTGCACCAGCTTATAGGTTTTTGCAAATGGTTACAGAATGTTAAAAGGTCACTTCATTTTTGTCGCCTTCGTAACATTTCAAGTCAATGTGACAATGTATTCTTAAGTAACAGTAAAAATGTGAGAAGTATTTTAAAACAAATAATCTATTTCCATGGCAACATCTATTCAGTACCATGCATAGTAAATGAAACTACCAAAATATGTTAAACATATGTCGTAACATGTCCATATGTATAGAAAATAAAAATTTCAACACTTTTGAACACTACTTTTTAGATTATTGAATGCTTACCAAAATCTTAAGTCCACTTATTTGTTACCACGTACACGGTAACACATATTAGCAGAAATGTGTTGGAATTTATAACTTGTTCATATACGTTCACAGTAAAATTGGAAATATAGTAGGGTCACGATGGTAGGAAATTAGAGAACGTGCATACGTGGCAAAATCACGGGGTAAATGACAGCTATGAGGAAAATAGGGCTTTCGTTTTTTTGACCACGCTGTACATTAATGATATATGAGTAGCCTGCATAATTATATTGGTACATTTTACTTTTTCGCAACTGAGAGTGGATGCATGATATACAAATCATAACCAGAACATGTAGACCACTCACCCCACCACCACTGGCGGTGACCTCATAGTCCTATTTATTAGTTGTATCATATACAAATCATAACCAGAACATCTAGACCACTCACCCCACCACCACTGGCGGTGACCTCATAGTCCCATTTATTAGTTGTATCAAGCGTGTCAAAATTATCCTCAAAAACAAGATTCCATTCCGACCCACCCCTTCCTGGAGCAGTCCATGATTGATCAGTTAGATGTTGGCCGACTCCATTGATAACAACATAGATCCAGTAGTTTACCACATCGCCGGCGTTCACTATGATGTTCCTGTTTTCATGTACCCAAGCGTTATCTATAGTATCAAATATATTCTAGGATATAATTAAACTCAACTTGAGTTATACACCTGTACACTTGCTTGAAGACAAAGGAGATGGCAAGATGTCAAACCGTCTACTTCAAGCTAAGCTCACACCAACGGCTCTCTGATGGCGCTTTAAAGCCGTGCAAAGCCGCTTTAAAGCGCCATTGAAGCGCCGATGGTGTGAACTTAGCTTAAAATATGTGGTGATTATTTCATCGTAATTGTCATTTGAAACACACTAGTGCCACCTGTTGTTCTGAAGACATATAAATGGAAAGTTAGTATCAAAATTATTATAATATCTTAGTCTATATCTTCCAGTATCCGTTCCATTGATATTTAGGTGAGTGTATAGGCTACGTAACTAGATTTTCAATTTTTTAGAAAGACTAACAATTTCAAAGAAGTTTTTACAGTTTCCAAAGAACGGTCCCCAAACCTGTTTTCTCGTTGATGTCATAATTGTGTTCCCCTGCGTCTGAACCTACCAATGGTCGATTAATACTGTAGTGAACAGCAGCTAAAGTGGCACCCGGGTAGTCTAAAGAAAATAGAGAACGATACTACAGCTACGTTCACACCAACAGCGTTTTGATGGCGCTTTAATGCGGCGTGCGAAGCGGCTTTGCACGTCGCTTTAAAGCGCCATCAAAGCGCCATTGGTGTGAACGTAGCTTTACCAAACAAAAGTCGTACACCGGCGCTCATATAGCGATATGATTAAATCTAAGCTTTAAAGCGCCATCAAAGCGCCGTTGGTGTGAACTTAAAGGATTTACTCAATGCACTGTGGATGATTTAATTCAGTCATGCGTTGTTTCCCAACCTGTGCATGAGTACGGCAGCACTCTGGTCTGGGAGTCGATCCTTCTTGAACTTATAAAACCTACATTCGTTTTCAAAACGTACGATCTCGTCCTAGAAAATTTCAAAGCGGGGCATGGTCCTGGTGAAATGTTTACAAATCATGTTATCAAGCGCTTCACAACTTATACAGTATATCAATATTATGTTTTGAAAGGAATAAAGACCGTTGAAAGTTGTAACTACGTCGAATAAGTTCGAAAGATCGAAAGCAAAATCGAAATACGGCAATTCTGTTCTTGGCGTGTCCATCTTGTTTTAGGTACGTTGTAATTATTGCAAAATGGGATGGCCGCCCGGTATGACTGCCCACCCGAAGTGTTGGAGCACCTTTCCGTCATAGCCCGTCCATTAAGTTCGTGAAAAGATATTCCAAATCCCTCCGATCCGTTTTAGCCCATTCGTCGACACACTTCAAGAAATACATGTAGTTAGGTGTGACTGGGGGATTGAAGATAAGTTCATAAGTTTATCAAGGGGGTGGAGGGCTCATGATATACATTAAATCTGACCTTACCTACATTCCCATGCCGGATTTGAATACTGATAACAGTCTTTGGGTTAATATCAAAATACTTCAATACTATTTGGTGTACATTATCGCTCTCCTAGTATGAATGTAAATGAGGAAAATGCTTATTTTGACCATCTAAGGGAAAATCTCTCCAAAGCATCCAAGATAAAATGTGACCACCTAATTATAAACGATGATTTCAATTCCAAACATCAAAAATGGTGGCCTGAAGGTACTACTGACTCAAGACGCAATAAACTTGACTCTATTTTATCCAACTAAATCTCATCCAACTAGTAAAAGAGCCTACCAGAATAACAAGAAACTCAAGAACCTACATTGACCTTTCTATTACAAACAAGCCTTTTCTCGTTAGGGAATTGGTTGTTTCTGACCCTATTGGTAATACTGACCACTCTACTATTTTGACCACTCTTCCATCAAACTCAGTAAGAGACACAAATTAAAGAAAACCATTTTAAAATATGACCAGGCTGATATTGAGGGTATAAACTCCAACATTTGTAATTTTGACTTGACTGAACTATTTAATCAGAGTAATAGAGATATTATTGTTACAACTGAAAGCTTTTCATGTCATATTTTTGACATATTTTCAAAATACATTCCTCAAAAAACATTAATTTCAAATGCAAATGATCAACTTTGGATGAACTCAAAAATTAAACGCGAAATCAATAAGAAAGAACGACTTTATCGGAAAATCAAATCAAAAAATGACAGTTGACAACTACACTGCTCAAGTTGAAAAGGTCAAATCATTAATAAAAGAGGCAAAATTAAATTACCAGGAAAACATTGTAAAACAGATTAATGAATCAACCTGTAAAGGAAAACAATACTGGAACATAGTCAATTCTTTTCTATCTAGAACTTTTCATGCTTTACTTCCTAGTTTGAAGTGCAATTTTTCAGATCACATAGCTACAACTGAGGGTGAAAAAGCTGAGTGTTTCCTTAACTTTTTTTCCTCAAAATATCATAATTTTAACCAAGTGGATAACGATGCAATTCCACATTTTCCAAACAGAACTGGAACATCAATTGACCATTTATCTACCAATCCAGATGAAATTCTTCAAATAATCCAGTCCTTTGATCGTGATAAAGCTTGTGGTCTTGACAAAATTAATAACAGAATGACAAAAATAGCATGTGGCCAATTTTCCAGTTGCTGGAAACTTGGAAACATTTCTGCAATTTATAAGAAGTCTGATAGATCACAAGTTGAGAATTATAGCACATTTTCCAAAATTTTGGAAAAAGTTGTGCAAAATCGTATTTTAACGCATCTACTTGAAAATAACCTTCTTTATCAATTTCAATCTGGATTTTTTTCCAGGACACAACACTGAGCTACAACTTTTAGCAATAACTGACTTTATCTTTAACGAAATGGAAAAGGGGAACTGTGTTAATTCTGTTTATTTAGACGTGGCGTCTGCTTTTGATACTGTACCACATAACTTACTCATTCGCAAGATGAAATCATATGGAATTCAAGGTAAATTAGTCGACCTCTGCACTTCTTACTTAGAAAATAGAAAAGTCTGTGTCACTGTAGATGATCACACATCAAACTTTTCTCCTGACCACTTCATAAACTCCGGTGTGCCTCAGGGGTCCATAATCGGACCCCTGATGTTTCTGATATACATAAATGACCTCCCTGGCACTCTGACCTCGAAAGCTTTTATCTATGCAGATGACACCTCCTTATACTCTTTCTTTCACCCTTCTGGCAATCAAACTGGCCAACTCCAAAATTACCTAAATCTTTTATATGTATGGTCTAAAACCTGGCAATCGAAATTTAAAGCATCTAAAAGTGCTCATTTAGTTTTTCGCTCAAACCGACAAAAAAATATTCAAATGTCTCCGCTTTACTTTGATGGTGAAATGATCCCTCAAAGGCAATCACACAAGCACTTGGGTTTCATCTTAGATGAGAATTTGACTTTTAATGACTATATAAACTACCTGTCTAATAAAGTTCAAAAACTGTTAAAACCTTTGAAGCTCATATCAAACAAAATACAGTCGTACCATTTTGAAATAATGTATAATTCATATTTGGCGTCTCATTTTGACTATTGTAGCTCCATTTACGGGTCGTCATCCTTGGCGGCTTTATCAAAGCTTGAGAAAATCCACTATCAAGCTGCTGTTATATGTGCTGGGGTACTGCATGGCTCTAACACTTCAAACACTTTAAAATGTTTACAATGGAAATCGCTGACTGATAAAAGACACGAAAAAATCTAAGACTGATGTTCAAAATTGTAAGAAAGGATGTGCCTTATTATGTCTATAGTCTTTTTGACCAACATCGCAACCATGCAACTAGAAAAACGAAAAACTGCTAAATAGGCTTCGAGTTGATTTTGCCCTTAAAGACCATTTCTTTACTCATAATTGTACTGGATCAATTGACAACAAATGCCTCTGTGGCTCTACTGAAGACACAAAGCATTTCATTCTAACCTGCCCTCGCCATACCCATGAACGTAATAAAATGATGACTGCACTTCGTGAACAAAAATTGTTTGATACTCAACTTATTTCTAGTAAGACTGAACAGGTCAAATATTTAATTATGAAAAGGAACTCACTATTGATTCTCATAAAATCCTGATAGATATAGTGATGCAATTTGTACAGGCCTATAATAAGTTTCCATCAAATTAGTGTAATTCTCATTTGTATCTTGTGACAACCCCCCCCCCTCCCTCCCAACCTCTCACATTACCAATAACCATCTATGATTACTGAAATTCATACTCTATTGTAATTTAAACTACCTAGAATGCCTATGGCGATTGGTAGTAGATATTTTGTGTATTTTTTTATTATGAAATAAATAAATAATATGTTAAAAAAAGATAAGTTCTACACTTTCAGTATCGTTCAGTTATTTTACCTTGTATTACAAAGCGTATTCCCTGTGGTTGAAGCAGGGAAATAGTCGGCGGTTGTAGCTGTGCTTTGATGGATGCCAAACTTCCAAACACATAAAATATCGCAGTAAATAGCCATAAAATCATCATGTGGGCTCGTTATATGAAATCCACAACAGACCTACCTCCGATTCTGAACAACGCCTTTTAATTGCGTTTTATAATAACTGCAACACACATGGTATATTCTCAGGGTGTGATTTATTATCAAAAGATTTTAAAACTTAGTAACCCTATATTAGCCAAACCAAACGTGCGATTTTACCAACCACCACTTCAGACACAACAATAATATACGTAGTTACACTTCGCACTAAACTGGGGACAATTAGCGTTTAGCTAAACTAATTGCTCGTCCTCTTCACCTTCAAAAGGCGCAATCCCGGAATAATACTAGAGTGTACAGAGTTTTGAGGTCGTTCTGTAAACATCTCTGCCTGTTTAAGTCTTTACCAAGTCAATGTTTTCTTTTATTATCGCTGTCCTTTTCATCCGCTTCATGGCTCATATTCGATGGTTGAGATGCCTTTCTTGAACTTGTTGAACCAACTTCTTATCATGGGATAGGAACAACAAGTGTCTTCATATGTTGCTCTACATGTTCTTACAGTGTCCTTTAAGCCCTTTCCTTGTTTTACACAGATTTTAATGCAAAGTCTCTGCTCTTTGATAAGTCCATTCACCATTTTGCTCCACTGTTTGGAAACACCTACTCCACCCGAATTTTAGTGAGTGAGTTTGTTTTGACGGAGGATCATGACATCACACTGACATTCACCTGTAGAACACTATTACACCACTAGCTTTTTGCTATGGCAACACATTTTAAACAAATAACGGTCTTTTTCGGAAAAAACATTAAGTTTTTTTCATTGAATGCATGTTTCATATGGCAACCAAAAGTTCACTTCCTAATAAGGAATTATATTTATATTGATGTAAACTCAAGATATATGTATATGAAAAATATTCTGAAAGTATAAATAAATCTGTAAAAAAAATTAGAGCAAAAAGAAACGAACTTTTCAAATGTTCCTCGTACATGCAAGGCTGTCCGGTTAATTTCCGATTTCCAATAATTGCATTTCAGTTTTGAAATAAACGGCTGTTATCAGAATCATGCTGAAGACATCAAAACCTGTACTGCATACGAATCATAAAAACCTGTCGCATTGTGAAGGCTACTTCGTGCGACAGCAGAGGAACATTGTATTAATTTTTAAAGTTTGTTTTCGTTATTAATCAAATTATGATTGCATTCCTAAAACCTAAAAAGTAATTTGTTTAGTAAAACGGAATTATTTTGAGGATATTGCTCGTATTATTGCTTTAAGTGTGTTCTGATCTGACAGGATGAATTATTCTAATTTCTGAGCATTGCCACGTCATAAACTAACTTAAATTTATTCGATCTCCCTTCTTCAATTTTAAAGACTGTGATCGTGATCCTGTTATGGGGAGAACTGGTAAGAATAATGCATTTACTCGTCCGCGGCACGAAACTGGGGACAACTAGCGTAACATTATGGCGTCAAAATACAAAAGAATAGTCTTACAACCTAAAAAATGACGAGCGATCGATCGATCGATCGATCAACCTAAAAATAAATACTTTACTCTTATTCAATCAGGGTAAAATTCACAGAATAACAAGATCTCGAGGACAGTATTTCTAAAATGTTTTTGTATTTTGAAAATCGGTATAGAAATTTGTTTGAAGCGTTGGTAAAAATTGATATGCAAGGAATTTGAGGCAAAAGTAATTGCGTCACATTTTATCAAGTCTCGTAAATTAGCTTTTATTCTAAATTTACTTATTAAATCTATGGACCGGTCATTATTTTGGAAATTGTTACATTACGTGTAAGTAATTGACCACCATTTTGATTAATTTTAGGCTTTGCAAAACTGCCAACAAAGGCTCTTTTGTTTGTCAACATGGTGATACTGATGAATATACTAATCCACGTCAATATTAATACAAAGAAGGACATCATTTTACTTAAAAATGAAAAATCTGAAACCACACAAAATGAAGACGACAAAGATAAGGGATGTTGGAATTTGAAACTGAGAGAAGAAATGGGGAATAATTTGTACAATTGTAAAAAGGGCCAAGAGCCAATCAACAGAGGGGCTTTAATGGATACACTGGATGAATTCAGACAAGTGTACGACACGAGACCCTTTAACAATAAGCATGGCACGGCAATTATGCACCAGTTTGCACTATGGTCGTTAATACGACATCTAGACCCTTTGTTCATCATAGAAAGCGGTGTCAATACTGGCCTTGGAACCTGGCTTTTACGACAAGCCGCCCCAAAAGCGAAACTCATTATGCTCGACCCCCAGGATCTCTTGAAATTTCGAGATGCCGAGGATGATAGTGTGTATTTTATCGGTCCCGAATTTAAAGATTTCGCCAGCATCAACTGGGAAACCCTCATAGATGACAAGGAACGTACAGTTGTATTCATTGACGATCATCAATCACATTTTAAAAGAATTATACAAGCTCTCGATTTGGGATTCAAACATTTAATTTTTGACGATAATCCATACATAGGAGGGGATTTGTATTCAGTTAGACAGGCGTGTGATGCAAGACGCTGTATTGAAGACAGTCTTGGAATATCGGAAGGATTTTCCATTAATTTGAAAGATGATTTCGGAAGAAGCATGGAAACCGTAAGTGAAGAGAAGGCTCTAGAAATGGCTGAGTTCTTATTTGATCAAATAGACGTTTATTTCGAGTTTCCGCCCATATGGGTAGCAAATGTTGATTATCATTTCAAAAGGTACTACAGCGTTTTGAATATCACGAGATCTTCATGGGGCCAGATAAATCCAGCGCCTTTACTGGAAGGAAGGGATGCAGATGATTTCAAGGAAAGATTCCAATACAAACTCACGCGCTTTGACGATTCATATGAAAACATATGTTATGTGAAACTCAAACATAAGGGATGAACGAACTATTAACAATATTGTATAATAACTAGAAATGCTCTTTCTATCTGAATTTACCTTTGAATTGATCTTTTAAATTAAAGTGAAATCCCCGGCGAAATCATATCGTTGAGTTGGTATTTCAACAGCGAACAAAAAGCTAGGTTGCTGAATTGTTCTTTAACTGTTTTAATTGTATGACAATGAATCAAATCCTCCATCCAATTTAATTTTGGTATTTGGCAAAATTACCCGGTCATAGGCAAACACCAAACTAAAAGGTTTAATAAGTTCGTATTTGCTTAATCAACATTGAAATAAGGTAACAAAATACAGATTTCTATGTATTAGATCTATTTACTAATATATAGGATTGGTCAATCGACCCTTTTCCATATTTTAACAGATTTTATTTGCATAGCGGCATCTTCGCCCTTCCACGTTGCGTACCAATCATTCTTTTTCTTCCAAAAGTCACCGGGGGCAAATCTGGACTTATTTTCCCATGGCTTTCGGCTATTTGGTACCCCATCGGGAAAATAATTATTCCCGCCAACAGCTACATTTAAGATTAAGTAAAACTGGAATAAAAAGACAAATTCTTACAATTCAATTATACAAATCTCTTGAATGGCTTGCTTCATTCATTTGAGCGAAAATCAACATATTTTTTCTCTATTAGTTCGTGCAGTATGTGACTAATACTGAAAGTGCTATTTTAGAAAATTAAATTAAGAAATATTGACATGTACAGGTATGTAGACAATCGGGAAATAATATTGATTTAAAATGTCACTTGTGGCTCTAAGATGTGAGAAATTGCAAGTTTTGGGAATGATTTCGGGAAACCTGCATTTGGAAAATGCAATAGCACTGGGGATCACGATAGCTAGATCTGTTTCAGCATGGACGGCATCCAGGTAGAATTTTTGTTTTAACGATTTATCACTTTCATCCATCAGATTTCAACTGAATATTTGGCACGTATGTAGAGCGTAGATTCTGGTTTTGAAATATGATTACAGAAATACATACAGTAGTTGTTTAGACAATTACAAATCAATTCTATTACTTCGAATTCCTCGAAGACGGTTTCTCAGACAAACAAAGACAGTTTCTGACCATGAAACAAAGACAGCATGTTTCAATAATATCTGAATGAACGAATTAGTAAAGTGGTCACGCAGAGGTCACAAAGCGAGTTCAGCTCCTCAACATATCTACAATGTGCTTTCAAATGCAAATGTGACCCTCCATTGTGATATTAGAACGACCGTCACGCTGATATATACAATAAAAAGAGTGTCTTCGTTGCAATGGCCAAATATTAAGTTGAATGAAGAATAAAGGTAATGAAATAAAATCAAGAAAGCAAAAATTCTCTTAAGCTTAAATTGTTATACAGGACATCCGGTCATGCTAAAACGAAGACATATGAAATGGTCGTATGTAAAGTGGTCGCGAAGAGTGAATACACCATGCCTTCGTTTCTAGTTGACCCCCAGACCCCAGTGTTTCCAGTTATAGTATGCGCCAAATCGCTTCCAAAGTGGCTTAGTTAGTCTAAACCGATGTTGAGGTAGATTACTAAGAAGTGGCCCATAGTCATTAAAGATTGGTTCATTGACTTTTCATTTTCACTTGTCTGCAGTTAATTAGGTGACACGAAAGGGCCAAACGGCTTGCTCCAAGGTGCAACCGTCAAAAATATGAGTTTGAAAAAAATCATGTTTTTCAAATAATAGCAGTGAGTATAAGAAATAGGAGGCATATTTGATATTGATATGTATGATAGTCTATTTGGGTGTGGTCATTTTTATTAAAAATAATAATGGTGAAGAATTATACATTACTGACCTTGAAATGCCATTTTAATTCAAAAATCACTGTTGCTAATGATAATATTCCTATTTTACTTAATTAATGTTTTCTAGATGTTTCAATTACCATTATGTTAGTTTTTGGCAAAGTAAATAATTGTAGGGGTCACACAAGGATCAACTTTATTTACAACTTTTTCATATTTAGTGATGATTTCAAAAAATACCAAGTTTAAGACAATTTTGTTTGTTAAATATTAAATAAAATGATGGTATTGTGTTTGTTTCATTGTTTCAACTAAAAATCGCAGTTCATTGCTCTTGCTCTTAGAGCTGCAGGGCATATACCAGTTCAAAAAGTCTTCAATAAAGTTGATCCTTGTGTGAGCCCTATGATTATTTACTTTGCCTAAATTGAATATACCGATTATTCAGATATTATATAAAAATCCTTTAATAGGTTAAATAGGAATACAATGATTGACTTTTGAATAAAAAGGCATTATACATGTACATCCCTATGTAGTTGTTGCAGTAAAATTACCACACCAAAGTGGACTATCTCTCAATATTAATATCAAATGGGCCTTCTATTTGCATTTTACTGAAATTATTTGTAACAAAAGTTTATTGTGATAAAGCAGGCAGTGATTTTGATACTTTTTTAGCTTGCAGACAGTGATCTAGTCGAGACAACATCTTGTAGTAATGGGTGTAACAGTGATGAGGCAGGAATTGATTTTATAAATGCAACTTTTGACAATTCCATTATTGATGGTTTATCTAACAGTTAGCCATTTTGTCCAACATTCTGCTCGGACGCCAAATTAAAAGATACTGATTTGCATCACATCAAGTTTGATTTGGTCACCGATGTTTGTCAGAGTGATACCTGTAGCAGCTGCACTCGACTGATATGCAGCAAGATATACGTGAGCTTTCATTGCAACATTTGCATTTAGAACAGTTACAATTTTACTTAGTCTGATAGATAATTAAATAATTGAAGTATATTTCTTTGAGTTTATTCAATTTGAACATTACTTTTACAATACAGATACCTTCGTTTTGAAACATTAGCAGCAAACGGTCAGTTTTCAACTTTGAATGTTTCATTTTTGTTCATAAAAAGTGTATTCTACAAAAGTCAAGGTCATTTCAAGGTAAAATGTCAATATTTAGGTAGTTGGCTTTTTAAGACACCTGACCCTCCACAACCAATGATTAGGTGACCTGAAGTCAAGGTCTGAATAGATCAAGGTAATTTTAAGGTCAATATCTAGCAAGCTGACATGAGAACAATTGTGACCTTTGGCGACCAATGATAAGGTGATTTCAAGGTAATTTCAAGGTCAAGGGTCAGTATCTAGGTCATAGGTAGTTGGCTACTGTGGGTCTTCAGTAACATTTGATCACCAAAGATAAAGTGACCTACGGTCAATGTAACTGTTTATGGCTCAAGGTCATCTCAAGGTCAGAGGTCAATATCTGAATATTTGGCATTTTGGGGATGCTGCCTCATGTGAGGACCCATTGATATGTGTTCTGAGGTCAAGGTCATTCATACAAGGTCAAAATCTCTGTATTTGGCGTTTTGAGGCCATGGGGGCTGCTATGACCCTTGGCAACTCATGCTAAGGTATATATTGTTCAAAATTATAATAAGGTCAAAGGTCAATATCTAGGTAGTTGGCTCATTTGAGGCTACACCGACATTTGATCACCAATGACACAGTGACCTGAGATCAGTGTCATTGTTATAGGTCAGGGTCAAAGATCAACATCTAAATATTTGGCGTTTTGGGGCGGCTGCTGCACTAGATTCCATTGAAACGTGACCTAGGGTCAAGGTCAATCTAAGGTCAAATTTCAACATCCTGTTGTTTGGCGTTTTAAGGCCACAGTGGCTGCTGTCGTGATGATAAGGTGACATGAGGCAGTCATCATTTAATGGTTCAATTCAAGATCGTCTCAAGAAGGCCAATATCTAGGTATTGGTGTTTCAAGGCACTCGTGGGAAGCTGTGACGCTTGGTGACACATTACAATGGTGACACATTTCAATTGACATTTCAAAAGTAATAGTCGATCATTTCTGTTTTATCATGTCAATTTTAATAAAATTTGCCAATTTAAAGTAAAATTATAACAGAAGAGAGGTTATCCAAATATGAGGTCATATTAATGACTGCACTCAGTAATGTTCAGTCAAGCTGACGAAGTTTTTCATGAAATAGTTACTTTCTGTTGTAGTTCTAAATTGAATAAGTATAAGCAGGTGCGTTTTCAAAAATGCAAATTTAAAGCAAATTTCACAAAATTTAGTTATTGATATGTAGAGATAGTCCATTAGGGTATGGTTACTCTCTTCAAAACAATTATGGTACAAATTTGGTACTTCTGACTATATAATGCTTTTTTATTCAAATTTCAATTATATTATTCTTATTTTGACTATCAAATGATTTTCGTATATCCGAATAACCATTATATTAGTTTTTGGCAAAGTAAATAATAGTAGGGTTCACACAAGGATCAACTGTATCGAACATTGGTCATACTGGTATATGCCCAGTCGCTCTAAGATCAAGAGCAATGAATTGTGATTTTTCAGTTGAAACAGGGAAGCAAACACATTATCATTATTTTGTTTAACATTTAACAAATAATTTTTTGTTAAACGTAGTAATTTTTCAAAACATCACTAAATATGAAAAAGGTGTAAATAAAGTGGATCCTTGTGTGAGCCCCATTATTATTTACTTTGACAAAAATGAATATAATGGTAAGTGTAATATATAGAAAACATTGAATAGGTAAAATAGGAATATAATTAATAACAACCGTGACTTTTGCATTAAAATGGCATTTTAAGGTCAGAAATGTATAATTCTTCAATATTATTGTTTTTAATAAAAATGACCACGCCCAAATGGACTATCATACATATCAATATCAAATCTGCCTCCTATTTCATATACTCGCTGCTATTATTTGAAAAAAAAGATTTTTGTCAAACTCATCTTTTTGCCGGTTGCACCTTGGGGCAAGCCGTTTAGCCCTTTCGTGTCACTTTTTTGAGTGCAGACAAGTAAAAATGAATAGTCAATGAACCAATCTATAATGACTATGGGTCGAATCATAGTAACCTACCTCAACATCAGTTAATTGGATTTTCTGGAGTTTTGGCGCACACTATTAATCCTCAGTGAATAGGTTTTCACGTTTCACCCAGTACATAGGTTTGAATTGCACATCAGCTGGTACAGTTCGTTCAGTATAAGTTCATCGGGAAAGCACATAAAACTAACACTGGTACTGAACTTGATTACGCTGGGTCCGTTTCGGTAACAAGATGGCTACGGTTCTGGTTGGAAAATTCTGGAAGATTTTTTCCAGGTTTAAGCATCATATGTTTCTGCGAATCCAAGTGATTTTGCATGAAATAATTTGTAGGATGACAGAATCGTACATATACTTTTGTTGTTTGTAAAATGGTTAAGATCTGTACTCTTAACGTGTTCCGTTTACGTAACAACAGTGAGGTACTAAATCGATTCTGTTGTCTTCTGAACTATTTGTTCGCAAATGTGTAGATTTTCTTAAACGTTTGACACTGACACACGTGTGATAAAAATGTCGTAGGAATTCTGCATACAACTAGTGAGGTAAGGAAAAAAGAAAAATCGTAACTTCGAGGTTTCGACATTCTGTTACCGCGTTTCGGTAACTAGTTTGAAGAGTGCAGTACCAGTGACGAAAGAGAACATAACATGACTGATTGAGCTTTATTTACCTCTTTATCGAATGGAGCGTCATTGGCACTGTTTTCCCATGGATTGAAGGGCAAGTAGCCATATCTGTAGTAACCATTCTTGGGGGTAGAAGCATTCAGTACAAGTTCACCGTCGTAATAAACCCTGATGCCCAATGCGTCCCAATCAAGTGTATATTTCACAAACTTTTCACCAAAGCTTAGTCCCTGGAGTTTCCTGGAATAGTCATGATGCATTATTTGCGAAATGTGGACGTACATGGTGACCCACAAAAATATAACCGCGCAAATTGTAATTATTTCTCCAATTGTGCAATTCAGTTGATGCCTATTTTCAATTCAACATTAATACTATCAATTTGCGAATTAAGATGGGTCGACTTTTAAATAGAAATTAATATCAGGACAAAATCATATCAGACTAATTGACAGCCCAAAAACATTGTGTTAGATTCAGCCTAATAAGACCCAAAGAAAGCACTCAGGTTGCAAACACATGGCATGTGGCATATTCAAGCATTACAATATTATTATATAAATCTATAAAATATACATATTAAAGACGATGGACCGACTCATCCAGTGGGACCAAGATCGCATTCTCAAGATCACACTGTGTCTGTAAAAGAAAAAATTTGATCGGGCGAACAAAACGCTGATCACGCGGTACTAACTTCGACCGTTAATTTGAATTTTTGACCTACCGGATGTTTGAAAATCAAGGATTGCGAGTCTCATACTGCACCGTTTGTCTTCAAACTTTTACTATTAAAAGCAAAACAAAATTGCCTTTCTGTCGGTGCATTGCTTTATTGTAAAAAGTCCCTCGTTCTAGCAGCGTTTTGGTCCCCAACTGTTTGAAGGCCTTCTTACAGCTGGGGACTAAATTGCCGCTGGAAGTAGGGGCTCTGTTTAAGAGAATAATGTACCATCAGAAATGGATTTTTGTTATGCTTTGAATGGAACAAGTTTGAAGAAAAACGGTGCAGTATGAGACTCGTAATCCTTGATTTTCAAACATTCGGTAGGTCAAAAATTCAAATTAACGGTCGAAGTTAGGACCGTGTGCTGATGTCCCCTTGGTTGGAATATGAATCTGGAAGATATATATTTTTCAAAGGTAGGCCCATTTTTCAAGTGTGTCTGTTTTTGTCACAATTTTGATTGTGTACCTGGAAAAATGTTGATTGTATAGATATTGATTCAACGTTTGGGAAGTTCGGTTTTGGGGTCACATTGTACTTGAATGATATGCTTAACCCCCTGTGACTGGTTATCATCACATGTTATATACTGGACATGTACTTTACAGTATAAGTTGTGATAAACCATTTAATAGATAAACCCCTACAAGAACAATCCCTTCCAAAGGTATGGCATGACCAAATCCCTTAACCAAATCTCTATTGAACATTAATGTTCATTCCTTTGGTTTATTGCATTAACATCTATAAGTGGTAACTTACAACACAAAAATGTTAAACGCGTAGCAGACCCGTAGCCAAGGGGGTGCTGGGGGTGCATATCTGGCATGAATTTTCACCCAAAAATGTCAAAAAGCCCTCCCCCTGGCAAAAACTCCCCCTCTTGGTAAAAGCTAGTTACGGGCAAGACTTGCCTTTATTTTAGCAAATATTTTCTCATGTAAAATGGCACAGTGATTACTACTTGGGACATCTATCGTTGGATACGAATACTTACTTGTGGCCATGTGTCATCCTCATTCGATCTGAATGATAATCTGTACCCCAATGAAGAGTAGACCCAACTGTATGAACACCTATACCACCATAGTCTACATTGCCTAAATCAAATGCAATTCATTTTACACAAAGTATACAAAGTAAAGTGTGTCTGTCAATTCAAGGTTATATAGTAAAAAGAAACAAGGCACAGACGTGAACAATATCGTACCTAAAACACAGCATTGTGGTCTTGTTGACCAAGAAAGCAAGATGGCCGCAGAAAAGTTAATCAGCTCTAGAACTTATCACTGTGTAACATATGTAAAAATTTGAACGGTTTGACTGGAAACCTGTAGACAAGCCTCGATAGGACGGAAAATCTAAAATGGCAGCCTTAACATTTACCCAGAATGCCCAAAATCTAATCAGTTCTAGTTGACGTTGATATGTAGAAACATCCCTGAAAATTTCAGATGAATCCCTCAAATGGTTTGGCTGGAAACCTGTAGACAAGTCTTGAAAGTGAAGATTTTAGGACGGAAAATCCAAAATGGCCACCTTAAAATTTACCCAGAATGCCCAAAAACCATTCAGTTCTTGGCGTTGATATGTAGAAACATCCCTGAAAATTTCAGATGAATCCCTCAAATGGTTTGGCTGAAAATCTGTAGACAAGTCTTGAAAGTGAAGATTTTAGGACAGAAAATCCAAAATGGCCACCTTAAAATTTAACCAGAATGCCCAAAAACTAATCAGTTCTTGACGTTGATATGTAGAAACATCGCTGAAAATTTCAGATGAATCCCTCAAATGGTTTGGCTGGAAACCTGTAGACAAGTCTTGAAAGTAAAGATTTTAGGACGGAAAACCAAAAATGGCCACCTTAAAATTTACCCAGAATAACCAAAAACTAATCAGTTCTTGACGTTGATATGTAGAAACATCCCTGAAAATTTCAGATGAATCCCTCAAATGGTTTGGCTGAAAACCTGTAGACAAGTCTTGAAAGTGAAGATTTTAGGACGGAAAATCCAAAATGGCCACCTTAACATTTACCCAGAATGCCCAAAAACTCATCAGTTCTTGACGTTGATATGTAGAAACATCCCTGAAAATTTCAGATGAATCCCTCAAATGGTTTGGCTGAAAATCTGTAGACAAGTCTTGAAAGTGAAGATTTTAGGACAGAAAATCCAAAATGGCCACCTTTAAATTTAACCAGAATGCCCAAAATCTGATCAGTTCTTGACGTTGATATGTAGAAACATTCCTGAAAATTTCAGATGAATCCCTCAAATGGTTTGGCTGGAAACCTGTAGACAAGCTGAAAAGTGAGACGCCGCCCGCCCGCCCGCCGCCCGTCAAGCTGACTACAATATCGTACCTCTTGTTATATACGATAAAAAGTGGATTTTAGGGAGAATATCTTTTACACAAGATCCAATGTACGTTTGTCACTTATGTCAATTATTGGCACTTTATGATTCTTGGTTAAGCAAAATCAACTGATGGTTTGCATTGTTCCCTATCATATAGGATCTCAAAAAATATATTTCATGTTATCCTCTTTCCTCTTTTCCACGGCCGATTGAGTGTTTTGTTCAATATTGTATTCAATTTTGAACAAAATACTCAATCGCCCGGGCGCCGTATTAAAATTCGGAGCAAATGTTCAGATATAGAATAATTCATTTTAGATGATAAAATTTTGATTTGACTGGCCATGCTGTCATGTAAAGTTTTTTTAGATTTTTAAGCTATCCTTTGATGTAATCTAAATCAAATTTTTATTTCGTGTGTGAAAATTATTTCAGGTGTGCCTAGTCAATTTTGGCGATTTTATCATCCCCATTTTGCTAAAGGCCATTTGTTCTTAGACTGATATAGAATGTCTACCTCGACTCTCACAAATGTCGATTTCTCCAGAACGAGGCCAGTGGCCATATTCGTTTTTTTGAGGCATCATCCAGATGGCGGGCCAGATCCAATCGCCTCGTGGCATCTTCGAAACAACCTAATAGGAGGATACTTTAAATACTATAAAGCATATCAGTGTTGATATGGATTTCTCCGAGGGGAAACAGCGTTCCATTCCCCTCCTAAAATAAGTAAAAAGTTCAAAAGTCAATTCTAAAAAATTAATTATACATGTGTGTCTCTATTCATAAAATTAAAAATTGAACATTTTCACTAGTACAAGATGCATGTCCCCATGCAAAAGTTGATTCAGGGTTGATAACTGGGTTACGCAAATGAGGCACAATAGAGAGGACCAGTGACAGTACCTCAATTCGTCCATATCTGAAGGACAGCTTTGTCCTTATCTTCCCTGACATAATAGGGCTGACAATGTTTCTCCCGTCTCCCTGTTTGAGACAACCGTTGGAATAGTTGGATGTACATCTTCCCCAAATGCCTGTAGAAGCAAAAGATCTCACATTCTTTAATGCTACCATTTGTTTGTTTATTAGTTTGTTTTTTATGACGGGCCTCTGGTTCATAAGCATCAGCGAATGATTAGAAATGGAACTTCTAATGTACATATTACTGATTTTAGAATAGATAGCGAATGAGAAAACACAAAGGGCAACGTTTGAACAACTATTAATGCAAACTATTTTAAAATTCATATCATATTCTATGGATGGTAACTTACTGGCTACATCCATTGTCCCGTATTTTACAAAGTCCTCATCAAATCTGTCAGATGTCAATGTCTAAAAATCACAATTTACATTATCAATGTCATTGATGCAAAATGCACCGTGGTTGAACTCGGTAACAAAAAGGCCCAGCCTCAGATGTACAATTTTTCTTCATGATTTTACAAGTTGGAGGCATATTCTTCACGACAATTAGCTTAAGGCCAATCCTTGCATTTTCTTGCACTAAGCCTAATTAAGCCATATTTTGCTATTCAACCCCTCCCAGCTCAATATATATAGTAAATATATATATACTCACAGGCTTTATAAACAATGTTTTGTCCCTCACATAGACGTTCCCTTGCTCAGGGGTGTAAACTTGGAATTCCCGGTTCTGAAATTTAAAAAACGTGTCACCTGTTTATGTCCAAATTTTAATTCAATTTCAAATACTATGATCCCATAAATATATTTCAGCGTTGCCAAAATTATCACAAATCCATTACAAACTAAGAAATACCGTATGTTTGCCAGGCATAGGTATTCGTTAAAATATTAGAATTAACCTTAATTTACGGATAGGTCGTGAAATATGTTTACATCTCTGCAGAAAAAACAGAGATGACTGGAGCGGGATTCGAACCTCTGACCCCATAAACATGTCAATTACACCTAACCTACCCCTCCTCCATTCGCTGTTACTTCATGTTGCCATGTGTTCAGATCGAAAGTAGAGAACTTTTCATCCAGCATAAGTCGAAGATTATCGTCACACGGACTTTGGTTCTGTTGCACAGGACGACCTATTACACAAATATGGTATAAACATTGAAAATGTATGAACTTATTGAACCATGCATGTAGTGATGTGCAATCTCCCATGTGGTTAGATTCATCCTTTGAAGCAAGTGTCCAGATATTCTGGATGGTTGAGCCCTGCGATCGGAGAATGGGTGAGATCTGGTTATAATATTTGTATCAGTGCAGGCCCGTAGCCAGCTTTTGTCAAGTGAGGGGGGATTTTTTAATCTAAGGGGAGGGGCACACTCTCATTAAAATGACTTACCATCACCAGGAATTATGTATCTCTGTTCGAGTAATCGATAGGCCAGGTCATCGACTAAAGCATTCAACCAGTAGTACACGATATCCCCGGGGTTTAGCAACACGTTGCGATTCTCATGCACCCAAACATCGCCTGCAAAATATGATAAAACTTAACAATCTTATTTTGAAGACATTAGTAAAATTGTCAATACTGAAATTGCCAGGATGAATAACGAAAGCCTCCTATCGCTATTTGAGATTTAGTACGACTTACGTGACACTGAATATTTTATAGATACTGCAATAATGTGTTGATAAGCGCTTTTCATACCAGTCTTTGCCCTGACATCATAATTCCATCTACCAGCGTCGACATCCAGAAGGGGCGTGTTAATGCTGTAGTGGAATTCTATTAAAGATGTTCCCGGTGCGGGATCTGAAAGATGAATTTAACTCATAAAACACCTGAAGTCATGTGCGTTGAGCCAGATATATCAATAGAAAAAGAAAAGATAAAATATAAGACCAGTAGAAGATGCGGATAAAGGTAATGATTGGATTCATAACTACGACGATTAATATATGAACGACCGAATCCCATCTTGATCAAATCCCTTGTATTTAATGTCAATAAAAAGCAACAGACAACAGACGTTATGTTATCGTCATAGAGAAGCAGTAAAGGGAGAATCTAGAAAGAGCGAGCTTAACAAAAATTGTTTCAATTTTAGAATATTTTTGGCTCAAATCATTCCTTAGTCATGACTTTTTTCAAAAAATCCCAAAAGTGCATTATTTCAGGAAATCTAAAGATATTTACTTTTAGTCTTTTTCTATGAATATGGTTACCATTTTTATTAGTTGGGAGAATTAAATAATTTCCCCAATTTTTGCACTTTTATTTGTTATTAATAATTTCATGCTCATCTCTGACATATCACAGATTTTATGGGAGATATTGTATTTGAACTCATAAGGAATACATTGGGAGGTCAATTGTACATGTGTTTCTGGCAATTTTGCCATCCCCTATAGATCTGCTGATCTGATTATAAACTTCATATACATTAATTATTAAGATACTGGTATTTATACAATATACAGCTGTATGTATAAAAATGGGGGAGTCAGATAATTCACATTTATGAACTGCTACCGGTGTCCAATTTTAGCATTCAATTCTCGGCAACAAACAATATTGATCAATTAATTTCTTATAGATATATTGTCAATAGATTTATTGGTTTTTCACCTGCTAGTTTTGTTTTTCAAAATACGCATTTGATCTGCATTTTCGTTCACGATCGGCTACCGTTGGTCGAACGCCATAGAGACCGAGCGTACAAAGATAGACGTGGAACTTTTCTGGGTTGCCCAAGTGTTTAGACTCTTCTCCAACTATTTTGACACAGCTCAAGTATTTCAAGTTCACTTATTTTATCAGAAATTTACAAGGGATGGTATCCCAAAAAATATTTACTTGGAAAAAATAGTGACCCAAAAATATTTTCTCACTACATACCTAAATTTGAAACAATTATCCTTTAACATACTTTATTTATTTCATAGAATAGTTTTAATATGCAACTGTCTTAATATTATAGACGCAAATAAATAATGCATATAGGGTAGTCCAGAACACTTGGAGCTTCATAGATGTTTCACTGGCGGATCTGCCCCCCCCCCCCTTGGGTGGGCCCAGAAAAAAAAATTGGACCGAAAAATTTTTTGGCCAAAAACGCTTTTAGGCTCCAAAAGTGGATCTTTTTGGTCATAACTGGGCCTTTCAAGGCCTTATTTTTTAATTTCAGGGCAAGTTTTGAAGAAAATGGGCCTCAAAATTTCAAAATTTGGGCCCACTTTGGGGTTTTAGGGTTTTAGTAAAAAACATGAAATGAATCTCAAGAATTATGCAACATGCCATTTACACTATTCAGAGTGTCTCTGCACTATCAACGTTTTGGAAAACATTAGTGATGATAAATAACTTGGCCTTGTCTTACATATGTGATTGTCGCTTTAAATACTAGAACTAGGTTTGATTGGCTATTGTTAATAAAGCAGTTTGTAATAAAAGATTCGAAAATCTCCCTTTTTCACAAACACCATGCTTATCATTTGCCACAGTACATATATTTACATGATTATTTGAAAAACGAAAACCCTTCGATCTGTCTCACGATAACAAAAATACTCAATCGGAATTTGAACTGAACTGGAATACTCTTATCCTATATACAGTATGTACATGTATATACATACTTGCGAAAGGATGAAAAATATTAAATCTCTTAGTAACCTTAATTCGTAGTTTGTACCTCTGTACTGTATGTGTACGATTGTTATATACCCGTAGGATTTAAGCATAGATGGAATAAATTGGTTGAAATACAAAAATAAACTTTAAAGTCATAAAGTATCGGTAACTTGTAAAGTGTTCGAGTTAAGCTTGGGAAATACAGAAAGCCACGAGATGAATTGAAAAATCGTTCCCCTCGTATTTTGTTGTGATCGTAATTGTAATTCAGGACATGTATTCTGTACTAAACATCCACATTCGCACAGACCTACCTTCAACGAGAAAACGTACTCCTTTTGGTTCCAGTAATGTAATTAATGCAGGTAGGACTTGAACTCGAGACTCGGTAATCCTCGCACATCCTACTACTAGTACATGTATTATAAGTATTTGAAGTATAAATACAATTGAAAACATTTGGCTGTTTTCGATGGGTAACGTTCCGTTGTGTTTTCTCCTTACTTTTAGGCAGATGTTTCATTCTGTTCATTGATAGCCAAATCAAACATGTCCTTATGAATACGAATGTACATTTTCATTTAATTCCCTGGTCCTGATTGCCAATATATTTAGTATTTGTAACCTCTTATTCCATGCAGGTACTGGCTTAGTGTCAATTAAATTGCCTGTGCCAAAAATCGAATTCAATAACACTAATAACCGTGATTAACCACCATGATATCACCACAGTCAATGGTGATCCATTGGATTACGCTTTCGGTAACAAAATGTCGGAACCTTGAAGGTACGATTTTTCTTTTTTCCTTATTTCACGCGTTGTGGGCAGAATTCTCACGACATTTTTACCATAAACGTGTGTCAGTATCATATGTGGCCGATGTGGCTACAATACCTTCGACGTTCCGACATTTTGTTACCGAAACGGTTTCAGCGTAATCGAGTGGATCACCAGTGTATTAGTGCAATGTGAAGAAATCTGCACGGGTATTTGTTCACTGAACAGTTTTTCACCTTTTGTGTATGGGTTTTGCATCTTAATAAATCAAAGAAGCAGGCCATCAATAAAGGGTCACTTTAAGGTGAATACATACGAAAAATATCCTAAAATAAACATTAAAATTGAAAAATCTACTTTCAGGGGCGTAGCCAGCTTTCAGTCAGGGGGGGTGCGATCGCCGAAATTTTTTCAGTTTTCGGTCAGGGGGGTTCGATTTTGCCATAAGCAACACAAAAAATTAAGATTTCTTTTGAATTTTACAAAAATTGATGCAACTTCCTTCAAAATTGAGCTAGAAGCTTCAAATAAAAAGCATTTTAAAGCTCTTTTCTACCTCTATCCAATGGTCATATTTTCAAAGGTTATGGGGGGGGGGGGTGCGATCGCACCCATCGCACCCCCCCTGGCTACGCCCATGACTTTTGTTCGATATTTGGTCGAACACAATCGTCAATTCCATACAAACTGATTCATAGACTTTTCAACCTTCGTGCTATAATGGGTTTGCATGAGAATAAATTAATTCACATAAATTGTAACCTAAGGAAAATATTCTATGGGGAACAAAAATAAATATGACGAATTATTGATATAAGCGTTGCAAAAACATTTAGACTTTCATCATATATAGTTCCAATCTGTACGTAGGTAACATTATTACTGGATAAGACCGGGCCAGAAGTTATATGATATTAATGACTATATCATGATAATTTCAAACACGGGTATATTTAATTATATTTCTAGGCATGTATTTTTTATATGGCCGTTACGTCTACATACGATACAGATTGCTATTTAAATCAGAGACATAAAACAAGGTGATAATCAATATACGCATTTAGTCCATTCTCCATAATTAGATATAATAATTTTTCTTGGGTTTCTTGAAGTTCTCGAAAAAGTATACTGAAAATACACCATTTCCTTCGGACCTGTAGCGAGCGGGGGTTCGAGACGAAAAAGTGATCCATGTTTTTTCTATGTGAGTTATTTTTTCTTGGTTCAATATAATAATGTTAAGGTCAGGGTGCATGATGGGAAATTTTCTGCATTCCTCAATTGAAACACATGTTATTTTTCAAACAAGAGTCACTCCTTCCACATATTGACTATATCTTCCAGTTTTGCACAAAGAATGCACTTATGTGCCTAGAAAAGACTTGTGAGAAGATTTGTTTTGTAAAATGTATAAAAAACGAGAAAATTCAGTGAAAAAGATTTCTGAAAATTTTCTGAATATTTTCTCTGAATTTTCTTGTTTTTTATTCACTTCATCAAAACATTCTTCTCACAAGTCTTTTCTAGGGACATAAGTGCACTCTTTGTGCAAAACTGGAAGATATAGACAATGTGGGGAAGGAGTGATTCTTGTTTGAAAAATAACATGTGACTCAATTGAGGGATGCAGAAAATTTCCCATCATGCACCCTTACCTTAAAGCAAATCAAAGTTTGTGTCATATTTGAGCGAGAGTGTGAGTCACATGTTTCAATGATTCTTTTTTTTCTAAATTAAGGTGCCATGGAAGTTAACAGGAAATGACAAAACAAAAAGTGACAAAACCATGCTGGATTTTAAAATTTTTTTGAACCAAGATAACAGAGTTTTGTTTGGACCTCCAGTCAGTTTAACTAGTTCCACTTATCATTTACATGACCGGGAACACAATGGAAATGGTCAGAATGACCATAAATTAAAATATGATGAAATAACCTTTTCAGCCCACTGAAAATGTGACTGAAAAATAACTAATAGTTTAGTTTAGTTTAGTTTAGTTTAGTTTTATTTACAGTGGTAAGTTTACATCATTCAATACTGTACAATACAAAAGAAAAGTAATAAAATAACAGCCCAGCCCACATGGGCTTATCAACCACTAAAGTAAAGATATTTGTTTATAAATATTACATCTTTTTTTGACACAAGTATAATTCATTTAATATTGTAAATTTCATTTCTTCTTTTGAAATAGCAAAATTTAACAAAATGAGCAGCTTGCCGAGGCATTTTTTCAAATAAATACTGAAACTTAAGTTCTACAGTTGATTCTCTTTTTTCAAAAATTTGATGATTTTGTAAATATTTTTCCCTTATTTCTTAATAAAATGTGCAATGAAAAATAATAGTAGGTGCTCATGGAAAGGTCACTGAACAGAATCTTTTGACTTTTTCAGAAAATGTGCCCAATAAAAAATAACATGTGACTCAATTGAGGAATGCAGAAAATTTCCCAACATGGACCCTGGCCTTAACAGGAAATGACAAAACAAAAAGTGACAAAACCATGATGGATTTTGAAAAATTTTTGAACCAAGATAACAGAGCTCTGTTTGGACCCCCATTCCAATTTATTAGTTCCACATATCATTTACATGACCGGGAACACAATGGAAATGGTCAGAACGACCATAAACATGATGAAATAACATTTTCAACCCTCTGAAAATGTGACTGAAAAATAGCTAAAAGTAGGTGCTCAGTAAAGGTCAATGAACAGAATCTTTTGATTTTTTCAGAAAATGTGTCCAATATATTGCTCTCATGTAAATGATACAATCTTTGAAAATTTAAAAAATTGTCGGAAACAATAATGGCTGTAGTAAAAAGGAAAATAGATCGATTTTCAATTCATTTTGTTTTCATTTTTTTTCTTTTTCTAAGAATGATATCAATTTTTTTTAAATTGTATCATTTAGAGCAATATCAAACAAGAACTCCTTCCCCACAGTGTCTACATCTTCCAGGTAATTTGCACAAAGAGTGCACTTATGTGCCTAGAGAAGACTTGTGAGAAGATGTGTTTTGTAAAATCAAGGTCCATGGTAAAATGTATAAAAAACGAGAAAATTCAGTGAAAAAAACTTCTGAAAATTTTCTGAATTTTTTCACTGAATTTTCTTGTTTTTTATACACTTTATCAAAACATTCTTCTCACAAGTCTTTTCTAGGTGCACTCTTTGTGCAAAACTGGAAGATATAGACAACGTGGGGAAGTAGGCCTGCAAATATCCCAAAATATGTGTTAAAAAGGGGTTGTTTAATGCACAAAATGGTACACGGCTCATAATACACCATTTTAAAGCCGTTGACCTTGGGATTTCAGAAATGATATTTAAAAAAAAAATTATCCCCCCGTTTTTTCAAAATCAGCTTGTTTCCATGGCAACCATTTTGATTTATTATAAATTTGTCTTAAAATACTTAATTGGCCATTGTTCAGCCATACCTTTACCGATTTTTATGATTTTTATACCATATGATCGGCATTTTGATGCTTATTAAGAAAATCGGTATTTTATGCAAATTAGCCAATTTGCATATTTATTGTGATGTCATAACTCTTTGTTTTAATACGAAAAACTTGGGTATAAGCGCCTTCTTAATATACAAATCATGTTATAATGGGTATTTTACCAATTATCAAATATGTATTGTATAACCGAACATTAAGAGATTAAAAAAGCTTCAAAACACTATATATTTCTGTTCTGTAGGGCCTATTGTACTAATGTACTATTGTACTGTTGTATATTATACTGGTATGATGAGGATTGAGGTATATAGATTTTACGATAGTCTGGGAGCAAAAGTCCAAATAAGAGGTTCCGTGTCCTTTTTAGAGGCGAGCTAAGCGACATACATTTTTATGACCTATATGTGATACTTACCAAGAAAAATTATGTTGGCAATTCTGGATCCGCAACGGCGTTGCTATGGTAACCAAGTAGATAAGCCACGCCCACTTTTAGGGGCTCTTTTCAGTGTTTGGCCCATATCTTCGTCATTATTGCTCAGATTTCGATGAAATACACACCAAATGGAAGGTAATAGATAATGCAATCAAAATATATTAAGTTGGCAATTCTGAATCCGCGGTAGCGTCACTATGGTAACAAAGTAAATATGCCACACCCACTTTTAGGGGCTCTTTTCAGTGTTAGGCCCATATCTTCATCATTATTGCTCAACTTTAGATGAAATTTGCACCAAATGAAAGGTAATAGATAAAGCAATCATATATTTTACCAAATATGCAATTAGGGTGATTTGCATCTTAATCATGACGTCATAACTGTTTGTTCTTGCATATTTTATCTTAATCATGATGTGAAATTATTGTCTTTAAAATGGTCAGTAATGCTGTCAACTAGTTTATTTCATTTAGTTGAGTTTATTTCTTTCATACATTTATGGTCATAAAAATTTAACAAATGTAATGAAAGATTTCCAATTCAGATAAAAATGTTTAATTCATACTGTTGCTATGGTAACATCATGTAGCAAAACTGTCCGCTGTAAACAAGAATTCTTTAGGAAATGTTACATTTTGACCAGTTGACTGACATGTATTCTTTTTAAAATTTGATGACAAAATAATCTAATAACTCTAGCAAATTATTTAATTTGGATTGTGTTATATTATTATGTCATGAGGGCAATTATTAATCAGGGGTCCAACCAGCTTTCAGATGGGGGGGGGGGGGGGGCGATCGTGGCATGAGCAACCCAAAAATGTTTTTAAGATGAGTTTTACAAAAATTGATGCAATTTCCTTCAAAATTGAGCTAGGAGCTTCAAGTCAAAAGCATTTTAACCCAATAATTACAACAGATTGAATGCACTAGTATTTCTTAAATAATTTTTATGTTTTTCTAACCTGGGTAGCATAACTAAGATAAAATTAGTTTTTGTTCAAGAGGCATCCCAAATACGGGACCTAATAGACACAAGTGCCCATGATAACATTTTGGGTGTGTAATTTTACACTGTCATTAACT